CACAGACACACTCACATACTCACAGACATGTAGCACATGTGTTTTCTTGGAAAACGACAGGCTGACGGTGGAGGTGAGCGACACATGCTGACAGTCTTTACAGTCAGAGGCAGATTTTTGGGGGTTACGAATGAGCAAAGGTATGCAGCCTTCTTCCACACACCCCCAGCCCTCCCTCACTCCCTCCCTCCCTCCTCACCACCCCCCACTCCTCCAGCCCACAGTCCTGGATCACTTTCAGCGAAGAGGATCTTCTCTGTCTGGACCTGAGCCAAACCCAGAGTCTAATCCACCTCCTGCTGATGTGCACAGCAGCTGCAGCTGCTGGACTGCAATATTTGTTTCAGCTTCAGTTTGTCTTTTCTTTTGTTTCACCAATAACGTCACAGCCTGCCTGTGGGTGGAGCAGGACTTTCATTCATACGCTACAACTGATTTTTAATTAAATTTGTCCACAGAACGGATTTAAACTAAAAGAACCTTATGTTCTGTGTTCACCAAAAAACTGCATTCTCTCTGTGATCTCACTGTGAGAATTTTAACTAACATTATTCAAAGCAGTGGTTCCCTGTGACCCTCCACCCCCTTTTGTAACCTGGACTACTGTTGAGCCCCGCCCACCTCCACACATTCATAGCTAAAAGCTCCAGTGAACATTAATGAAACACTGTAATTCCTACATACAGATTATAATTGAAGGACTCAAAACATGAAACAATAATGGGCCTAACGTCTGGCCCACCTGTCAGCTCTGTTGACCAACAGTTACCCTTCCCCAGAAGTTCCCAGAGTCGGAACAGATCTCTGAGAAATCTGATTTTCTTCTTGCACAACATGGACATAAAAAACAAACAAAAGCATGATTGAATTTATTGGCTTCATAAAGAGAGTTGAAGAAGGAATGTGCGTTTTACATAATTTTGTTTCATACTGAATTTTGTACATGTTGTGTAGTACTTTAATGTGTTCTGATTGGCTGCTACAAATGATTGTGTGTCTTCAGAGGATAACGTTGATAAGGTTGTCACTGAAGATGAGGTGTTTGGCTGCTGGTCCATTTTTATTCTTTTGAAAACATTTGTGGTGAAACAGCAGTCATTGTCATACTTAGCAGTATGTTTATAGTTTATAAAACAATGCAAAAAGATCACCATGTCCAGGTCACAAAATCTACACCAACTGAAAAGTGTTCATTATGATTCGTAGGCTACGGCAATAATACAGACGCCAGTGTTTAACCATGAGGCTTTAGTAAGTGTTACAGCATTTTTCCTGAAAACTGGCCTGAAGGCCTTGACTTAAAAAAAGCATAGAAAAGCTTTTGTTTTATAGGTACTTCTTTCATACACATGTCAGTGCTCGAAACATTACTGGTATAATAGTGTTACTGTCTGGGAGGCAAGGCTGAACAAAGAGAGGGTTCAGAGCAACCTGAAAAAGAGGAGAAAACAAACAAAGACACAGAGGGAGGGTTACCACGCTGTGGGCACTAATTACCACCAGGTTTCTCTCCACAGGGAACCCACTATTTAATTGCAAAACATTAGTGTGTGTGTGTGTGTATGCATGTCATGCAACGTAAGTCTACGATATGTTTGTGGCTTAATCCCACAGCTTTTTCCAACAGGAAACTGAACCTAATAAACGGCCCTGTTTCTTACTTCGTAAAAAGTAAATAAAGAACGTGAGTAATTTTACCTCACAGACCAAAGTTTATAAAGAAAATCAGTGAATTTAACTCACAGACCCATGGATTCATATATACTGGAATTCAATGAATCACAGTTGCTATGGGCTCTTAATAACGCATTTCACATTAGTAATGAAGGCAGCAATGGATTAATAATTTCTGAGGGGGTCAACCAAGGATTAAAACATAATTTGAGCAGCGATGCGGTGTGTTCAGCAAATATATTGTTTAATGTTTTACCCGTTTTATTTTGTTTCTTCAGCAAAACGCATTTCTCTGTACTGTACTGTATGTATGTACTGTTTATATTGGTGAACTCTTCTCAACGTTGCTTCTCTTTGTATCTTGTCCGAAGAAACTACAGGCAGCAACCTGTTGTTCAGGCACTCTGAATTTCTCCTGTGAGGGGCGCTGTTTCCCGCTGATCGAGAATCCGGATCCGAGAAGAACCTCCTCCTCGTCGTCCACTATCATCACCTCCTCCTTCTGCTCCTCCTTCGCCTCCACCTCCTCCATTCTCCAACTGTCCTAAAGAGAAGAAGAAAAAAAACTTCCAGACTGAGCAGAGGTTG